AAAATCCCACCCAGTGTCGTCAAAAAAATCTTGTACCCTCGCAGATGTGTGCTGTCTGTGGGGGAATAGGGATGCCAACGTGGGCTCGTCCATCCAACAATCATGCCAGAAGAAATTCTGACCGGTTCCAAGGTGCCAAGTAATGTGTGGATCCGTTCGTGGCCCTACTAATTTCAGCCTCTTCCAGGTAGGGGAAGCTGAACTGGGGACTGCTGCAAGTAAAGGATGCATCCCCTTACAATACTTGCCCAGTAAAAACTAAGCCCAAAGTGACCTATGAGATCGGAACAACCACCAGAGCTTCATGGAGAAGGTGTCCACCACATCCTGTAATCTCCTAAAGTCGAGGCCTGCCTCATCAGTAGGAAGGCAAATCGCCTTCCAACTCCTCCAATGTAGATGTCGTGCTTGATCCTTAGAATCCCATAGAAATCCGGCAAAGATGCTCTCAAGTTTCTTCAGCACTGCCTTGGGCGGCTGCATAATCTGAAGAAGATGTAAAGGTATGAAAGAAAGTACTGACCTCAGTAATGTAATACGACCCCCAGGCGATAGTAATCGTGAGGCCCAACCTGATATCCTATCCCTTATCTTCTGGATAAGGTCATCTTAAAGGAAGCTCCTCTTAGTCCCCTTGAATAAGGGGACACCCAAATAAGTGAAAGGCTGCTGCTGATGTCTGAAGCCAGTCAAAATCTCTAGTCGTCTGATCTGACTAGTCGATGCCCGTCTGGATAGTATAATACCGCTCTTGTCTCTATTCACCAATTGGCCAGAAACTCCTTCATAGTGCTCCAAGCAGTCTAAGACCCTCCTGATAGACTGTTTCTGACCATTGGGAAAGATGATCATATCGTCAGGAAATGAGAGATGTGAGACAAGAGCACTACCTCCATGTTGATAACACATACTGGGATACTGCTGAAACCTCTGAGTGAGCAAGCGTGAGAAGTAGTCTGCTGCAATGATGAACAAGGATGGGGAGATAGGATCACCCTGTCTCAGTCCTCGTGAGGAGGGAAAGAAACCACATGGGCGGCCATTTAGGAGTACTGAGAAATGACACTCTGAAATGCACCGCCTAATTCTGTCGATCCAGATCTGATCAAATCCAAATGCCTCCAATACAGAATAAATGAAGCCCCAGTCCATGCGATCATATGCTTTAGCCATGTCTAACTTCAGCATAGTGTTTTCCCCTCGCACTCTATCATCCAAAGTGTAGAGAAGCTCTTGAGCCAATAAAACATTATCTCCAATCAGACGGCCTGGGATGAAACCACTCTGTGGAGAGGAAATAATGCACGGTAGCAGTGTACTCAACCGAGTGTTCAAAAGCTTAGTAATAATCTTATTGAACACTGTGCATAAACTGATTGGTCTGAATTCAGTCCATCTGCAAGCACCATCCTTCTTAGGTATCAAGACAATAGAAGTAGCAGCAAAACCCCGTGGAAGATGACCACCATCAAAGAAATCCAAAATCGCCCTGTAAACATCCTCCTGAATGATATCCCAGCAATGCTGGAAGAATAGGGATGAGAAGCCATCCGGACCAGCGACACTGTTAGCATCAATACTGAAAACTGCCTCCCGTACGTCATGAATCAAAGGGGGTGGTTTAGTGCCAAATTATCGTCCACCATCAATAGCCTCGAAATGACATCAGAACGGATGTGGTCCAAGGGTTGTGGAAGAGCAGATAAGAGATCCTGGTAGAAAACAACAACCGAAGTCTGAATATCAGTAGGAGTAGATAACACTTCCCCTGCCTGTGTCCTGATAGACCTGATACGCGATTTGATCCTAGGCCCCTGAACCATCGCATGAAAATATCGAGTATTGTGATCACCTTCACATGCCCAACTTGAACCGGCCTTTTGCTTCCAAAAGCCCTCCTCAATAGACAAGGTCCGGTTCAAAACTGCCTGGGCCTGATGTAGTAAGTTACGGTGCTCCGATGTAGGATCTCTATCATATATTATCTCAACCTCATCAACCCCGACCTCAGTATCGCGCACCCGCTGGAAAATATCTCCAAATACATGTCGGTTCCACCAACGCAGACCCTGTTTCAGCCTGAAGAACTTCTCCCAAAGAGCGGTCATCCCTGTGAGATGAGTAGGGAGCGACCACTTCTAGGAGGCAAAGGCTAAAAAATCATGGTGCTTGGTCCAAACATTGAGGAATCTGAACGGTCTAGGCCCCAAATCATCATCAGAAACCCACTGAAGCAGTAAAGGAGAGTGATCGGATGAAGTCTGATTCAAGTGTCTCACTGTAAGCTGTCGACAAAAAGCTGCAGCTGTAGAATTAATAAGTACCCTATCCAATCTCTTTCTGACCCGACCATTGGTCCAAGTATATCGGTTTCCAATGAAACCCGCATCCTCTAAACCACAGTCTAACATCATATCAGAGAAAGCAGTAGTGCCACGATTATGGGTATTATGACCAGTGCGCTCTCCATCTTGTGTAATAACATTAAAGTCTCCCCCAACTAGCCAAGGATCATCCATATCGAGGGAGATGTGGTGAAGACCCACCCACAAATCTCTCCTGATAGTAGCATCGCATGACGCATAGACTGGAGTCAAATAGATAGCACGCGCTAGTCTGGGATCCTCAACTCTAACGTGAAGAAACTGGGGATGATCAATAATAACAGTAACATTAGTCCCCGAATTCCAGAAAAACCAGATCTTATTCGATTCATTCTGAGCTCCCATGTCGAAGCGCAAATAGCGTCGTGTATATGTAAAATTCTGTCGCAGAACAAAAGGCTCCAATATAACTAGAAGATAAACCTGATGAAGCTGTATAAGTTTCTTCAGGTGCCGACGAGTAGCTACACTAGCTACACCTCTCACATTCCAAATGATGGCATTCATAGGGAAGGAGAATGTGGGGAGGTATCGTGTGACTGACTCCGAGTGATCCTTCTGCTCGGATGTGGAGTATCAGTAGCCCGTGGGTGTCTCTTTCGAACAACTGGGATAAATCCATCTTCCTCTGTCCTCTCATCCAAACCCACCAAGTCATCAGAAGAAGATATTCGAAAAGGTCCCTGCTGGTGAACCTCAATCTGAGGTGAGCCCTCTGTATCTGAATGCGCTGACTGCAAAGATGGAATAGATGCCTCAACATTCTGATGACAAACAGGAGGAGAAGAAGTGGAAATAGGTGCCTGAGCCCTACCCGGTGTCAGGCCTGGAATGTAAGAAGCTCTGCTGACTATGTCTGTGGCCTCTTCAACATCTCATCCAACATAGGATCATAAAATGGAGTGATAGGTGGACTGATAGCCTGAGCAGGAG